ATATAATAGTAAATTGATTTGTATAGTCAAATTAGGAAATGGAATCCACATCCTGATTAGCAGAACCTGAAATCACGGTATCACAAATTCTGGATATGCATGTTTAGTGTCAATCTCTTATGTTAATTGATATGTGTGTGTGTGTTCATATATGAATATGTCTTATGATACCTTATGACATTCCTAACACAGTCTCTTTTGATAACTTTTTCTCTGGGATTTCTTCATCTTCATTTGAATATATTCCACTTATAATGACAATACATTTTAGTTTTAACCATAAGGGTGGTGCCTGATTGGTTTGATCTTGACTCCAAAGGTCAAAAGTACCAGGAGGTCCCATGTTCAAATCCAATGAAGAACAAAAATCCCCTTGTGGCCACGGATGTTCAAATGCGGTGACTCCGGGCTATCTGCAAAACAGTTGGTCGTCTTGGGATTAGTCGGCTCGCATGACGTTAACGGGTTGATATCCAGGTTAATAAAAAAAAAGTTTACCGAGTTCACCAACGAACATATGTTGAATGCGATGAACATGTTACCCAGATTGTTATTATACTGTTTGCATATAGTAAACTTCATGAAAAATTTCGTTTGTGAACACAGATTCAAAAGTTTGGTAAGTCACTACCAACTCAACACGAAACCTAAAACCCTAATACGACCTGCATAAAAAAATCTACAATAAAAATTTAAAAAAAATAATTAAGATGAAAAACCCAAATCACTTACGATCTAGACTATGATTTTCGAATTCTTGGAAAACCGACCTACAAGATGAACGGTTACAATCAATGTGAACATTTGAACCTTCAACATTATTAGGATCAACCAATTCTTCAGTGAATGACGTCTCCAAAGGCAGATAGTTCTTAATAACAGGTACACGCACCATGACATAATATCATAAATTATTACAAAATGGTCGGTTAACTATAACCATCAAGTTGAATGCGTTTAAGAAAACTTGGAAGAAAATAAATTATCTCACATAATTAAAATCTCACCCATAATTATTTATGTATGAGATAATTAAGAAGAGAAGGTTATGTTATTAAATTAAAATATCTATTTATTTTTATTTTTCTTAAAATGACATAAACATCTTTTCCTTAATAAAGAAACGTGGGATGAAACCATACAAATGGGTGAAACGTGATTGGTCCCGTAAAGTTAACAAAGTTAATACCAATGTCTTGGTTAACAAAAGAATATGATATATATATATATATATATATATATATATGGAATGGTTCAAACGAGAACGTGAGAACACCTTTTTACTATAGACAATCACATGTGATATTATTATTCCATCACATATGATACACATGTGATAGTAAATCAGAGACACGAACGATTTTTGATGTGATCTTGGTTGCGGGGCAAGTCGCTCTTACACCACTAAGCCCCCTCACATGTATGATCACATATGATAAGGGTGTTGTTGATATGATATTAAAATCCATCAAAAAACCATCACATGTGATGCTAAATCATAAATGTAGACAACCTTTGGCGTGGGCTAAGTCGTAAAACACGCCGTCCGCACATCACAGGGTCCCCTCACGCATATTATCTCATATGATAAGGGTGTTCTCGCGTTCTCGTAAAATGGAGGTGTTCTCATTTGAACCTCCATATATATATATATATATATATCATGTTATTTGTACAAACCGTACAAACCTTATTCAATCAATCATAATTTTTCATTTTTTTGTAATTATGAGAGGTTGACTAATCATTTTTATTGTGGAGGGTGTTAATCATGAATATTATCATCTTCATTATTTTAATTTTAGAGAAATATATGAAACAGTTTCATTAAAATTTTATTAAGTATTATATGAAACAATTTCATAACCATATATGAAACAACTTCATCAAAAATAAGTACTATATAAAACAATTTAACAAGATCAACAATTTCATGATTTTTTTTATAAGATTAAACAATGAAATCGATGGATGAGGGTGGTTTACACGGTTTGTACAAATTGAGTGGTTTGCATTTGATCTCTCCTCTCTGAGAGAGAGAGAGAGAGAGAGAGCGAGAGAGAGAGAGAGAGAGAAATCCAGATTTAGGAGAAAATGCTAAAAATTTGAAAAATCGAAAACACCTCATCAAATGTTTGATTAATAAGGGGGTGTTTGGGATTGCTTATACAAACAACTTATTTACTTATTCCGGTGTGACATCCGTAATAAACACTTTTGAGTGTTTGAATAAACAACTTATACCGGTGTCAAACCGGTAATAAGAAGTTTTTGAAGAAGTTAAACCATTTTGACTTGTAATAAGTTGATAATTACTTTGATTTGTTTAAGAGGGTATGAAGGGGAACTGAAATGGCAATTAACGTCCCTCTGAACAACGAGATGACCTACATTTTTCAATGGGATGGCGAGGGTATGACACAGTTGGAGTTGAAAGAAGGAATTTATATATATTAAAGAAGAAACCAAGTGTAATGACGTGACCTCTTCTCAAAACTAGAAAGTATTTTATCCATTTCTTTTTTTCTCAAGCTTCTCCTATCTCAATATTTATTTTTTTATTTTTGATATTCACATTTAAGATCCTTTAATTAGGTTACTTTAACCTACTCATGTTCTCTTTAATAATGCTCTTTTAACTCTCATTATTTCTCTTTATTCGGTTATAATTTTTCATCTTCTTTTCATGGTACACCTCTATGATATTCTCTCTATTAATCCCTCAATTCTTTCTCTCTATTCAGTGATAACTCTTATTATTTCTTTCTATTCAGTTATAATTTTTCATCTTTTCTTCAGGGTACACCTCTATGATAATCTCTTTATTAATCTCTCAATTCTTCCTCTCTATTTACTTATAATTTTGTGGAGACGATTTACATTTTTGTTAATTCGAGACGTCATTCAATAAGATAAATCATGGTATGGGTTTATGTAAGTATAATATTTCGTGTTTTAGTCGGGGACATTCACAATAAAGTTGGAATTATGTAGGCATATGAATATTTGTGTGTGTGAATAAAGTGACATATGAATCCTTGATGAAATAAAATAACATTGTTTAAGGATAATAATCTCTCAATTCTTCCTCTTTATTCAGTTTTTTGTGAAGGTGATTTGCATTTTTGTTGATTTGAGGCGTCATTCAAGAAGACAAATATGATATGGGTCTTTGTTATGTAAGAATAGTGTTTCGTCTTTTAATTGGAGACATTAACACTAAAACTGGAATTATGCAAGCATATGAATCATTTCTTTTGTGTAAATAAAGTGGCATATGAATCATTGATGAAATAAGATAATGTTTTTAAGCATATGTAGATTATAAAAAGATAAGTATTTTTTTATTTGTTTATCCATGAACTCGGATACACGTTATGCTAGAATATTTTTTATTTCATCAATGTTTATAGTTTGAGCTCATTTTATTATAACATATAAAATATTTTTTTCATCAATGTTTGCTCCTCTTTTTGAGTTTTTTACTTGGCAAAAAGTTACAACGAAAGAAGTAGTGAAATAATGTCAGACAACAATCGGTAAGTAGTTCCAGAAGCCCACTTTGGGCCCATACAACAATAAAACCTTAGAAGTCAATTCTATTTGATGGACGCATGATGCCTCATTCTATGCTGAATAGATATCAGACTGTATTTTAGTCTAAACATGTATAAAAATTATCTTTTAATCTTTTTTTTATCAACCATGTCTACAACAGGCAATAAGGTAGAAAACTAAGTATATATTGGTTATAATTTACACTCAGTTATCACCAACTACTACTGGAACCATGCTCCCACTGACAACTAACAAGAGTCAAGACTTTTGATGGCTTACACCTCCTAAAACATGTATTTACATGTATGTCATTACATTTATTAACATTTCACATTATAATATAACTAATTATCAATACATATTACACATATCTCTTCACACATAATAGTCGTATATTGTTGAGTTTCAGGTCACGCTTGCTTGAACAACTAACCATACTTAATGCTGATAAACAATATTCATCATCAATCAGACAAACAATGCATAAATTATCCACACTCCTGTCGTTATTATTACTCATTTTATTTAATTTTACAGCTTTATTCCTAAATAAATATCTTTCTCTCTCTCTCTCTCTATATATATATATATATATAAGGGTTCAAACGAGAACACCTTCATTTTACGAGAACTCAAGAACACCCTTTTACAATAGACAATTACATGTGATACTATTATTCCATCGGTGCTAACGATTTAATAACTATCTTTGTAGCTCCAGAATGTTTCAGTTTATGCTGGACAGAAAGACCCTATGAAGCTTCACTGTTCCCTAGGATTGGCTCGATTTGAGCTATGGACGAATATGCAAGCATACGTTTCATGCTTGTTTACATATGATACACATGTGATACTAAATCAGAGACGCGAGCGATTTTTGGCACGATCTTGGTTGCGGGCCAAGTCACCCTTACACCATTAAGCCCCCTCACATGTATTATCATATGTGATAAGAGTGTTTTTGATATGATACTATAATCCATCAAGACCATCACATGTGATGCTAAATCATAGACGTATACAACCTTTGACGCGACCTAAGTCGTAGAACACGTCTTCCGCATACCACCAGGTCCCCTCACGCATATTATCACATGTGATAAGGGTATTATCACGTTCTTGTAAAATGAAGGTATTCTCGTTTGAACCTCTACGAATATTATATATATATATATATATATATATATATATATATTATAAAATGTCCAAGGTATGGTAAATATTGCTTTTTGAGCATCTTTTTTCAAGTCAAACTTTGTTGTCCGAAAGGGCAACATCATGTATCTTAGTTTAAGCTATAGAAACCAAAAGTACACTATCAAGTATCAAGTGAAAAATGACTTTCATCACCCATAACCAAAAATTAAATTAAATTAAATTACCAAAACAAGATATTTATTATAAATTAAAATTAAAAAAAAAACAAAATAAACCCTCCCTACTCATACCCTATTTTGATACTTTGATTTTCTTTTTTCCTTTTCTTTCTGCACAAGTCTAATCTCTTTCTTTTTTCGACAAAATGGATGAATCTCGAACCTACAAGTTTTCCCAATTAAAGCAAAACTGGCAAAAAGATCGAGACCCAGAACCCACAGTCCCTACCTATTAAGGTAAAAAACGGCAAAAAGACTCGACCCCACAAACCCCTACGATGAGTGAAACCCGAACCCGGCCATGGTCCCTACCTATTTCGGCATATCCATGAACCACCAAGACCAAGACTCGAACCCTAACTATGGGTGCACAAGTCCAAAAGCTTCTTCCGACCTTCAACAATCTCATCAAAAAAGTCGTCAAGTTGCACAATCATATTTTCAATTCCACATTGCAACCCCACAAAACAGCTTTTTAACTTTTCAGCCCTTTCACTTACGTCAAATTCCATTCCGGTCCCTTTCATTCTTTCCAGCTCTGTTTTCAGGTCGTCGATGGCGGTTCTTGAATTCCAGAACTCGTAAAGCAACACCCCGTTCTGACCGTCTTCGTTTTCTTTCACTTTTTCGTGTAATCTGGTGGCGGAAACCATGAAACCCGACCCGAAAACGTTTTCGTTGTAATTCATGGCGTTGTTGCCATGGCAAGACGAAGAGAAGCTTGTTACAGGCGAACAGTAAACCAGACCACTTAACAAGATCATCAAAAGCAACGAATTCGTGTTCCGTAATGCGAAAAGCACGCCTCTGAATCCATTAAACCCGTTGAATTTCGATTCGATCATCACGTTCTTATCGAATTTCATCATCAACGGTTGAATTCTCGTTCGGATCAATCCCCTGTTTTCTTCCTCCAATCCAACTCTCTCCCTCTGACACCCATTGATTGCTCTAAGAACCTGTAATAAAAATCCAATTTTTTTCGACCAAAATGATCCGTCAGTTTCACGAATTCAACCTTCAATCAACTCAAATTCAAGAAATAAGAAATGGGTTCGTTTCGATTGATTCAATTACCTGTCGAGACAGTTGTGGGTTTAAGAAACGGTGGTTCTCGAGGGTGGTGGCGATGGTGACGGCGGCGGAATAATAGTTTTCCATGTTGGTGATGCCGGATTTGATGACGTGGCAGACTTCCCAAAGGCGGGCGCTTTCATCCATGTATTCATCGAGCCACTTTTCTCCGACCGGCAAATGGAGTTTCTGGACGACGGCGATGAGCTGCGAATGGAAAGATTGGAGGGAAGCAAGAACATGTTGAAGGAAATGGATGGACATGAAGTTATGAGAGTGAAAAGATCGAACAAGATCATCGAGGCCTTGAGTCACGAAGTTGTAGAACCCATTGACGGACGTGGCGGCGGCGGCGGTGGTGGAGGAACGGTGCATCATGATGGTGGTGGTGGTGGTGGTGGTGGTGGTGGTGGTAGAGTGGGAAAAAAGGTGATGGAGATTGTTGGGGTATTTAAATGGGGAAGGGGAAGCATAAAAAGTGAGTAAAACTTGGGGCTTAGCTTTTTATGGGTCTTGGAATTATAAATTTAATATTTAAGCTTTTTTTTAATTAAAAATAATTAAATATATTTTTTAAGTTAATTTATAATTCAGACAACAAAAAAACCTTATCCATTAAAATCATATATATATATATATATATATATATATTCCCAAATATCATTATTTTTCACAAAATATTATTAAAATTCTTAAAAAAACCTATTTTTAACAATAACAAATCACGAATATAAAAACTGTCTTAAGGGTTGTTTGTTTACATATTAATAGTTTTATTAAGAGGCAATTTCAGAATCGTTAAAAAATGAATTTTATTTGACAAAAAATATCTGTCTCTTAATAATTTATTTTAAAAAAGAGAATATATTTGAAAATATATATGGTTTGATGGGTTAAACTTAGAAGCTCAGGTTTCTATATGGTGAAAAGGATTGGTGGTTGGGTGCAATTATGGGTGTTTCAAATAGAGTGGATGGGATGATTGGGAATCTACCACTTTTTTTGTGTTCAATGGCCACAAATGTACTAAGACAACATTTTTCAAGTTTTTTTTATTTTATACATTTTTTTAATTATTTCTATCATATGCCCTTTTCGCCTTTTTATTTCATTCTTTTTGTTCTTAAATCGAATATAATTCGGTCCCTATTCTCGACTCCTGAGCTTCGTTAGAGTCGGTACACGAAAAGGTGTATACGATCGTTTTTGTATTGGAATGGTGCGATAGACTGTTTGTTTCGGATCATAACGTAGGATTGGTGGGAGGATACTGTCACGGAAGTGGTAAGAGGAGGTTAGGGACGAAGAAGAGGTGACAGGAGTTGGGAAACGAGTTTTCTCTCAAAGGGTATAATGGTCATGTTTGTTTGAAAATGGTTTAGGGGTATATTGGTGATTTTTTTTATTAACTTGGATATCCAACGCGCTATGCGAGCCGACTAATCCCAGGGCGACCACCTGCTTTACACATAGCTCGGAGTCACCGCATTTGAACCTCTTTGGCCACAAGGGGATTTTTATTTCTTCTTGGATTTGAACCTGGAACCTCCAGATACTTTTGACCTTTGGAGTCAAGCTCAAACCAATCAGACACCACCCTTGTGGTTTATATTGGTGATTTTAATGGTGTACTGTTTAAATAATGATTAATTTAACTGAAACATACCGAAAGCAATGAAATGCAAGAACAAAATGTTGCAAACGTCGATGATGGGCAAAAGTGAAAGCTGTAGAATAATCTAGGGACCGATTTCGTAAAAGGATGAACCTAAAGAAAAATAAAGTTGTGTGCATTAGAGGAAAATTGAAATTGAAATTTAATTTTTTTCCTTTTTTTGATACTAATATGCGTAAAAGATGCGAGAAAAGCAGATAAAAAGAAGAGACATGCGAAAAACATGAATGCTTTTTACAGATTTAATTCTTTTACATCAACGGCCGACAAAGATAAACATGAAAGAAACTACTGAATAAAGAAACAATACAGATGTGGTAAGCAGGATACATGTGAAAGAGCATCAAGTCGTTCAGGTTCTTCCCACTATGTTCGTTTCAGAATGCAGTACAGAATCAATATCGTTGTTTCAGACATACCATCCGTTAACTTCAAGACGATAACAAAAGCATATAACGGAAGTAAAATGTGTGATGCTCATGTGATAAAAACTTTTTTGTTGATCTTTTTGCTTGCACGATCCGACAAAGATAGACATTAAAGAAAGTGACATAACCAATAAACAAAAACACAGTACGTGAGATTTACGTGAAATGTGCACATGAAAAAGGACTTTTCTTTGAGTGGTGATGTTGTTGGCAGCTCGTCACTTTTACATTCTCATATTCAATTTAACGTGACATATATTCTAACCTTTTATTTATAACACAATTTTAAAAATTAATTATCAAATACTGATTCGACTAATATCAAACTACTGATTAGGAATATAAATAAATGCTAACAAATAAAAAAAAAAGACAAACAACAAGATTCATCAACAAGATTTGGCATCATTAACTTATACTGTATCAATTGGTTTCTTATTTAATTAAAAACCCAAATATTTTCTCTTAAAATATTCATTTATTTATTCATTATTAATCAATAAATCAATCAGTAAATCCCAATTTTCCAAAGAACAGAAATATGCGTATATTTGTCATAATTTTTTTTACTGTATCAGATGTGGATAATTAATTTCAAAACGTATTAAACCAACATCGTTGATATTGGTTTGATGTTCTGAACAGATGGTTGTTGATTGATGTATACAATATGTAACATTTACATGGTTTGTCTTTGAACCTCTGTATCTGTATCTATATCTGTATCTGTATTTATATCTGTATTTGTATTTGTATCTGTATATTGGAAAGTAATTGAAAAAAATAGAAAAGAAAGGGCAGCTACTTTAATAAAAGTCCACTGTGGTTGTAGGGGAGGGGTATGCATATAATCATAATTTAGCAAACAAAATCTAAGAAAGCTCTTAATTCAATGATGCAACATTATGTTTCTTGGTTCAACACAATTTTTGACCCAAAATCTCATTCTTCCATTTTGATTTGGTTTCCCCCTTTGGAATTGAGTGCCTTTTCATCAACCCAATACCAAAATTCAAACAATTTTTTATTATTTTATTTATCTGATATTCAAATCTGAATTCAAAAACGCTGTGAAACAATCAAACAAACCTGAAATGTAATGGTTTCAGAAAAATAATAAGGTATTATAACGAAGCTAATTTGACAGGTAAGTTTACATCTTATTATTGTATGTCAAAATTAGACAACACTAGAAAAGTACCCGCGCAATGCAGCGAGACGCATCTCGATTTTAATGTTCTATTTTATTATTTGTCTTTATCGATGTTACAATACGGTTTTATGTGTTTTTAAGAAAACAATAATGATATTATTTTTGAATAAAATATAAATTTGAAGATATCATAAGATTTTGAAAAAATATGTATCAATGTTAATATCAAATCAACTATTTAAAAGTATTTTTTATTTTTGTGTAATTTCTTTATTTTTTTAATTATAATTTAATTTAAATTTTTAATAACGAAATAATTTATTTTTGGTTTAATAATATAACATTATATAAAGATAATAATTAAGTATTCTGTTAGAACTCAATGATTATCAAATATAATTTATATTTAAAATAAAATGTTTATCTTGTATTTGACTATATTTATCTGCAGTTAGTTACACGAATTCAAATATAGAGTTTTAATAAGTTGTACTTACGCACAATATACTTGCAATCTTGAGTTTTAAGTAATATGCATTAATAAATAGTACTTTACGCATAAAAAGTGATTTTTAAGAGTTTTTGTCAAATGCTTTATAATTAATATAGTATAGATAGAAAGTGGAAACATCTGAAAACTAAATCATCTTATTAGTCTTTTTATAAATCATTTTTAAAGCCGAATCTCCACAGAAAAACACTGTGAAGGTTATTTTCAAAGTATTTTCCTGTGAAATTTCAAGTGTAAAAATCATATCTCACGTAATTCCATATATATATATATATATATATATATATATATATATATATATAAAGGTTAGTATTGAATCTTCATGGTACAATGTTCCCATGAAGCATGGTGCATTTAATAATAATAGTTTGTTTGCTTATATAAAGGAGATGCATGATGAGGTTCCTGTTGTGGTGATTATATTTGTCCTTCAATTTAAAGACATCTTTCTTTTTTTTGGGCTCTTATTTCTTTTCTTTAAAACTAGTATTTAACCCAACCCCTTTTTTATTTACCTCATATTTTATCTGTATTTTATTCGTTATCCGTATTTTCGATGTTAAATTTCTTCGAGTATACATCAGATGACGTAAAACCGGAGTTTATTTACTGGGGTCTCGAGCTTCTCTGGCCCTCTGTGTTTTCCATCGGTAAACAAGATAATGATACGGGGCCTGCCCAAAAGGCTCTAAATAGCATCTTGGTCCAACAACGTGGACACAGAGTAGGTATGTATGTCATCACTTGTGTCACTGATAGAGAATTAGGATTGAGACACATACATTTGGTCCGTGAACAGGACTAGAGAAACGAGAGTGAAAAAGCTTGCAAAAAAGTTGTAGTAGAAGGTTTTAGGGTTTATGTTTGACATGGGTAGTTTAGTAATTTACTTATATCATCACACTTTTCAGGTTTTTGTTCCAAGTCCTGCCTAGTTTGGTGTCACGGCAAACCAGGGGCGGACCTGTATGGGAGCATACGGTGGCACGTGCCACCGTATTATTTCGCCTCCAAAGGGTAAAATTTTTAGGTTTGTTAACGGTGCTACCGTATCGTTTCGGAAGGTGCTACCGTATTTTTTATAAAATTCAAAGAATGGTGCTACCATATCATCATGAAGGTGGTGAGAAGAAGCAAGAAGACGCCGGAAAACCAGAGGATGCGGCGGCGGTGATGGAGATGAGGAAG